TTTGTATGCTGAAGTGTCAAAAGAAAAATTAGACAAACGTGTTGTTGCTGTTGTAACTAATCTCGCTTGTCTGAATCAGACCAAGACCACGAAATTCATCAGGGCAAGGAGTGCAAGATAGCGCCTGGTGTTGGCAACAGCCTTGAGCACCATACAGGTGACAATACGACTTTGCTCAAACCGGCCCCATCAAGGGGTAAGGGTCCGAGAATCTCTTCCACTGCTACCAACCTCTCGAAAGGATTTTAGGCTAGCCATATATTTAAAGCGCCTCCATGCTTCACAGACACTATATATTTATAAACATTCATGCCTTCTCCGGGATTCGATCCCGGGCCCTGCGGTACGGCAGTCAGCGTCGCTAACCACTATCCCGGTTGCATATTTCACAAGTGCACATCTGTATAGCCACCGAGGGAGTGGCTTCTAAGATGGACCAATGAGCATCCAGTAATATTTCTGTTATGTCACATGACCTTTCGCACGCTTTAAGATTTAAGCAAGATGGTTGAAAATATTTTTCCACGCAATTTTCTGTACATCTATTTCTTCTTCACTACCTGGTTGAAAGAATTTGAAATAAATACAAACACATGTTGGATACTCCTCAAAAACATTCATGCGAAATATTACTTAATATGTGATAAATAAGATGAAAGAAATATGTGATACACATCTGAGCTCAAATGCTATCTTTACATAAAACTATGCATATGAGAAAAATATTTACACCGGTTATATATGTAAATAGAAATCAGCACTTTTTATTGCAATCTATATAAAAGGATGTTCTATAATAATAGCCAATGCAGAATTTAATTCAAAGTGAACTTCACTAATCTGCATTCGCAATTCACAAATTTGCATTTAGTGTGTTAAATTTCACACTTAATAACTGCTCACTCTTAAATATACTGTCTACACAAGAAATACTCATCAAACAGAATGAATTTATCTATTCACAACGAATATATTCAATTTATTCACATATAACTTTTAATGTTAACAATGGATATAATCAGATCATACACAATATGTATTCTGAATATTACACTTTCAAAATCAAAAGAATGCAAGCAGTGAAATAAGAAAACACTAGATTCATTGTAACACTTCCAGTCCTTCTCAGCTCAATAAAAAATAAAACAAGAAACTATACATATGAATTCTTTTAATCCACATTTGTTAGTAAATGCATAATATTCGACGCTAATTGTAGCTTGAGTCATTTTCTGGGTGTAAAGAGCGATCATATGCCATGAACATCAATCTGAATATCAATGCATGATAAAAATCGCGAAAGTAAAATATCAGCCATTAATTTAATTCATAAAATGAAAGCACTACGAGATTTTCTACTTTTACGCCATACACTTGTAACTGCGAAACAAATGCAAATTAAAATGTAAACAACATACGCTCACGTGCACGAAGATTTAGCGTCACAAGAACAAAAGAAGCTCATTGGTCCATTTTCGAAACCCCTCCCTCAGTGGCTACGCTGATGTGCACTTGTGAAATATGCATCCCGGCTGGGCGGCAAAGACAAATATAACAATAAACATAAACTACACTGACTACCAATAATTATTTGGACACCTATGCAAATGATGATATCTGCGGTCCTAAGGTATGTCACGGACTCCGCCGGTATATATCGTGTAGGAAACAGCATCGGCTTTAATGGCATGCAAGATGCCTCGCAGTTCGGAGCTCTCTCATTTCGAAACAGGTATAATTATCGGGTATCACAAATATGGCCGATCCTTAAGGGACATATCTAGCGATCTGAAGTACCCAAAATCGACAGTCGCCTATGTGATTAAGAAGTGGAAGGTGAGCGGTGATTGTCGGAATGTGCTCCGAGTCGGCAGACCAACGAAACTGGGAGATAGAGACCGACGAGTGCTATCCAGAGAAATTCGGAAGAACCGCACCCAACCGATGGCCCTCAACCGCGAGGAGTCAAGAGGCATCCGGGAGTATTGTTTCAATGAATACCATCCGTAAGGAAGCACATCTGCTTGGTTTTCATGGTCGTGCTGCTGCCCATAAGCTTTTGATCACAAAGTCCAGCCGCGCTGCTCGGTTAATGTGGTGCAAAGCACATCGAAATTGGACCGTAGATCAGTGGAAACGGGTTCTTTGGAGTGACGAATCAAGGTTCACCCTTTACCGTTCGGATGGCAGGGTCTGGGTCTGGCGTCTACCTGGAGAACGTCTCCTGCCAGAATGCATTGTGCCAACAGTCAAGTTCGGCGGAGGTGGAATTATGGTCTGGGGGTGTTTCTCCTGGCATGGGCTAGAACCCTTGGTCCCCATTCATGGTAAGCTCAACTCCGATGCCTACTGCACTATTTTGGATGACAATGTGCTTCGTACGTTGTGGCAGTTTTAAGGGTTGGACCCCTGTTACTTTCAGGACGACAATGCCAGTTGTCATGTTCAAGGCTTGGTAAGGTGCCAATGGAGTTCATCGAATGGACTGGCCAGAGTTCAGACCTGAACCCTATCGAGAACTTCTGGGACGAGTTGCATCGCCGAATTCAGGGGTGCACTACCCGTGCAAAATCGGTGAAGGAACTTCTATATCTTCTCCAAGCCGAGTGGAAGAAAATACCACTAGCTGTCATACAAAGACTAGTGGAAAGTATGCCCCGGAGGGTCCATGCTGTAATTACCTCTCGTGGAGGCTCTACCAACTATTGATTTTGAATAAAGTTAGTTTTCTTTTCTATCACAGGTGTCCAAATACTTATTGGTAGTCAGTGTATAAACAAAACTATAAACATAAACTCGTGGGCTAACTTCCTCAGGGAAGGGGTGCCTTTATGCAGGACGTTTTAAGGGAAAGTGGTTCGTATAAAAGTTAGACATGGAGGAAAACCACGAAGGCGCCCATATAACCAGCCCGTTGGCCAGGATTCGATCCATGAACCAGAATTACTACTATTCAGCGACTTTACCAATCGACCGCCGGTGGGCGACAAATACAGGTTTGATTAAGACTTTTGAAATCTCGTAACGTGATAAATTATTTTCTCTGGGTTTCCACTTTTAGAAATAGTTCTCCTTTTCTCTTTATTTTGTTTATTTATTTCCTTTTTGTTGCTGTTGTTGCGTTGTAACACTATTTTTTATACAATTTAATTTTTTTAAGAATCTATCTGCGGTGCAAGAACAGAATTAAAAGCATTTTTAAAAGCTTTCAGATGCTCTTGTCTTCAAAATGATAGGAATAAAGCTTTGATTAGTGTGCTGTCGATTAATTCTACCTTTTACCTTTTTTTTTTTTTTTTTTTTTTATTATTATTTTTATAAGAATAAGCACACTGCATGCGAGACAATATTATGCGCGCTTACACGAAAAATAAAAATTCTTCCTATCTTGTTTTCTCTAATTGTTATATAAAAAATACAGTATTTTCCAGAATTTTTTGTTTTCTGAAAATGATGCAAGAACAAATAATTACCACTGGTGTTATATTTTATTCAGGAAATCAACACGCATAAACAAAGCAAACGATCTCATTAATCAATATTCCTTAAATGCTTTCTCTGAGTATAGATCACAAAGCAGTTAAAGATTAATAATAAATTAACCTAGTAAATCTGGATTAAGTATCGTTTCCGTTTAATTAGTAATTAAAGAAAAGGAGACATATTACGGAATTGTTTTTTGCTAATGCAAAAGCACATGATATGAAAATTTAAATTTCATTTCATTAAACTAAAATGGGGTTGATCTTTACATTATGGTAACTTGGCGTTTTTTTGGCGAAAATTTGGCGACCAACTCTCCTACAGCAACCCTCTATTTTTTCTTTTTCCCGCCGCCATTTTGTCTTCACGAAGTAAAGACATGTTTCTTTTCTTTTTATCTACTGAACACTTCTTCCAACAATCTACTAGCCGAATTACACTTATGCTAGAAATTTTATCTAACAAAACTGCTTTATCATGACAAATATTCACTGCAAAATTGGGAAAAAGTGCACAATACCATACTCCTTACGCGTTTTTCAAAATAACACATACACATAAACCATGTACACGCCGACTTATTTTTACTTAAAAAAACATCCCAGAATTACACAAAAATGGCAGCGCACACTCTTCACTATATCCATGTACACTGCTTTTTTCTCATAAATTAGAAAAATTTCACGAAAATACATGACAATTTTCTGAATCTTTAAACCTTAAAAATTCTCATAAATAAAATGGTTCTTCAGGAAAGAAGAAAGTTAAAACAAGAATAAGGAATGAGAACAAGGTTAAGCTTACCTGCTCAATATATCACTTGATAATTTCAAGACAATTTTTAAATGCTGTTTGGGGGGAGGGGAATCAAATTCTATATTTGCTACAGTATTCTCGAAAAACATTCTGTAAACCGGTAGAAAAATAAAAAATCATTTACAGAGTTATTTTATCGTCGTAATTATTATTACTAATAATTCCATATTTCGGCCTTCTTACAAAAGCTTACTAATTTGAGCAGCTGTAATTTTTCAATATTCACGCTCTGCGCTCAGACAAATATGTCTTTCTCTGATTATTCAAGTGGCGAATGTGATTATGTTAATCATTATATGTTCTCATCATAAACCTCAATCCATGCTACGTATTATTAAATCCACAGAACTCATACGACTGTCCTAGCACATCACAGCCATAGATTTTTCCGTTGAGTTGACATCTCTATATGGCTAACACCTCGGATGTAATAGTCATAATTACGTGCGCTTGTACTAACGTAGTAGTAATAGTACAAGCGACGTACAGTAGTAATAATTCCTTATTAATTCATTTATGGAAATAATTAGCTAAGCATGTGAATCCTTTTGAAATAACGATTATGGGGAAAATATTTTATCAGTTCAGAGATTCCAATGTTTGAGAACAAAATTACGAACTACATGCAGTTTTACTATATTATAATATAGTAATAAAAATCACATTTGCCGTACGAGATAAACTAAGATAAATTGACCAACCATTGAAGTTGATGAGTGAAATCAGGACCGAAAACGGGGGAGTACTGTCCTGGTGGGCCCAAGTGGTACACAGGAGGCCTCGGTATACCTAGAACATAAAAGTACTTAGTAATCGTGTTTTACAGTCCCGGCTTCATACACCTTACTTAGCATTTGAATAGAGATACTTTAGAAATGAAAACAAAAATTTTCAAAGCCTGCCAAGTACAATATTCTAAAGAAACATTAAAAAAATAATAATAATAAAATAAAAGCAATTTGACCTTCTTTAGGTATCAAAAGATAAAGCTGTAAAAACTGGACTTTTTTATGTTAACAAGTAATAAAAAAATTTTTTTTTTCAAGTCAATTCCTACTTTAAGGACTAGAGTTAAAAAAAAATAATTAAAATTATAATTTAAAAGAAATTTTTTTAAACATCAAGTGTCATCCACTACAAGTTTAAAAAATATGTATCTGAACTTGAGTGGATGAACAAAAAGTATTTTATTAACGATTGAAAATTTGAACAACATATAGGGAAAGTGTGTGGTAATAGTAGAAATTTAATAAATAATGTGTGTTATTGTAAATTACAGCAGCAAAGCAAATAGGTAGTAGGTCCATGCATCAAATAAAGTAAGTCTTTAATCTTGTAGTATGAGTTAATTAACAGCTGTACAAATTTAGTTAAGCAAATTAGATATGGCAAAGCGACTTCGCACTGATAATATTAACTGTCATCGGAAAAAATCACATAATCACACTGAAACTATGGAAAAAATGATACTCACCTGTTTTAGGATCGATTGTAACAGATGGAATTCCCATGTGCGCAGGTGGGGGTTGTGCGAAAGGTTCTCCGTTGTATACCATAAAAGGTAGCGGTGAACCAGAATGAGGAGGAGGTACCATCGGAACCTTTCCAGCCTACAAGAAAAGAAAAAAAAAATTGAATATATACATATATATACGTAATGACGAACATAATACAATCACCAAACATTAATTTATGAGCAATATTGTCGATAGATGCTTTGCATGATATGAAAAAATAAATTTTAAAGCCTATCTAAAACACAACAGAAAAATGTCTTACTAATCCGCACAGATGATTAATATATATACAGTAGAAGTCCGATAATCCGGCACGTTCGGGACCGGCTCGGTGCCGGACTACCGAAAATTCCGGTCTATCGGGCGGTAATTATAAGAACAATTAGGTTAATATTAAACTAAAAATACAGTATGCAAATACATACAAAGTTTATTTTACATTTCATATAATTTTCTCAACTCGTCTTTGTATTTTTCTGCAGATTCTGGTTTGCTGAAAGGGTTTCTCCATTTACATCAAGTCTTCGAATTCCATGCCGAAAGCTTCTGATCCAACCATCAGAATAATTACATTCACTTCAGCAACTCCTAAATCTGGGCCGAATTCTTTGCCTTTTCAACAATCATTGGCCCTGTTACCGGCTTTCCTTCAGAACGTACTGCACTAAACCATTTGAACATACACTATCTCTGTTCCAGTTTTGGTTTTTTAATGTTTGTCTAGAAGCCAATTTTTCAGTTGTTACCGATTGAGAAGCAACTTCATTATTTTCATCTTTTTGTTTTTTAATGTCATAAATAGTTGATGAGCCAATATTAAACTCATTCATTAAAACATTTCTATTCTCGCCTTTTTCTAGCCGTTTGATGATTCTAGTTTCTGATTGAGAGTTAGTGTACGTGTTTTCGTTTCTCTCCTTTTGAACTCGAAGGCTTAGGTTTTGAAAACATAGTCACTGTACAGTTAGAACGAAATCACTTTTTTTATAAACAGTTTTCAAAAGTTACGTTCACTGCGATGTGAAAGGACACAAACAAAACAACGCAAAAAAAATGGCGAAGACGCTTCGTGATTGATTAACGGAGCTGCACTGCACCTGATTTGTTGTGACAGCTGAGACTAGCCGGCCGCTAATTGTTTCCGAACAATACCGAGCGCTTCCGGATGATCTCGAACTGCCCCGAAAACTTCCGAATAGCTCTCGAGCGGTTTTATTTGCTTTAAAGACACACTTTTGGAGAAAACCAAAATTTTTACAATTTTCCGGAGCGATGCCGGACTATCGGGCATTCCGGACTGTTGGATGCCGGACTAATGGACTTCTACTGTATATATATTCAACTTTTTCAATTTTCAGTTTTTGTAGTTAGTATTATTTTGTTTATTTTTGTAGTGTACTTAGTTTTAGCTCTTTTTATTATTCTTAATACTTAGGTATTTGCACCTTTTTATTATTCTTACGAATGTTTATTTGTTTCCTGAGGGTACGAATGAATGTAGAGGAAGCTCTGAACTCGTTTGGGACTCGTTGTAATATTAATTATTATTACGGAAATTTGTTCAAAACGAGTCTCAGATGATTCAGAGAAACGAAACATGTATTTGGAACTCATTAGTCGTCCAGGTTTAATGTTTCAAACACTCTCCCCTTCTCAAGTTCTGTTTAAAGTGGTAAACAAGGGAGATTATTATTATGCCTTTTTTTGGGGGGTCAGCATTTTTTTGCACTGTTTCACGTGTATTTTGCACTGCTGCTTTGATGAATTTTCTTATTAATTTTGTACGTCTTTTAAGTTGTTCCGGTTCATGTTTCCCGTACAATAGGCTTACTAATAATTACTTCTATATTAAATATATAAAAGTTAAAAAGTTAAAAGTTAACTAAAAATTCATGTTCAGATGAAGCAAAGTAGAAAAACGAAAATCATTCAAAACAGTGTAAACAACCATGACACATAACTGATATATTAAAAAAAAATTTAATTAAATAATTTTAGGGATAAATTAAAATAAATTTATCCCTAAAAGGGGAAATCCCGGGAGGAATTTCAAAAAAAAAAAAAAAAAAAAAAAAAAAAATACTCAGAGTAGAGCAAAAAAGAAAATCAATCAAAACAGTGTAAATAACTACCACAAAAATTTTTTAAAAAATGGAAAACATTTTAAAGTTTAAAAATTTTTTACACTTCTTGACACTTTTATCAAGGGGCTGGTGTACCCAGAAAAGCAAACATAAAATGGGGGTGTTTCTGAACTAACCAATGAACAATTCAACAAAATCAATTAACATCTAGAAAAATTTGAATTCAATTTTTCATGTAGTGATTGTTCAAACTATTTTGAACGATTTTTCTTTCTTGTTCTAATTTGCTGCATCTGTATATGATTTTTAAATTCGCTTTTAAATATTACTTTAATTTTAATTTTTTTAAAAAGCAATTATTTTTAACATCTAATTAATGCGTGATGTCTAACGGAACTTCTTCTGTATGACAGATTCAAAAGGCACATGATTCTATCCCCAAATAACGACTTGGCATAAATACACACAAACCAACGCTAAAGCAGGCTCCCACTCTTCTACGATGGGGATATCGGAGCGCTAATTCACTTCCTTATATGAAGTTTTTTCGCCAGCTATTCGCCGCCGACACATTAGTACATATTTTTCCACGCTTTAAATGCAAGACGACTTAAAACCATTGCTGCATCAGCATTCAAATCTCTCCACCCCCTCCCCCATCTTTATCCAACCCTTCTTATTCCCAACCTATCCGGCGGATACTTAATTGGCGGTCAAGGAGGCGGAAAAATTTCCGCTAATGAATTTTCCAGTGGAGTGATTCAGCGGATCTGTGGAATTCCGACTACCCCCTAGAAACCCCCCTTTCCGCCATGCTATTAAATGGATAACATTCTGCGCGACCCCTGTATACGCTAATGAATTGAGGAGGGTCGCCCCCGGGCACAGGCAGGTACGTGATTCGAGGGGAAGCGGGGCACTTGCCCCACCCTGCCCCCTACACCGCATCCCCTGCGGGGGAAGTGCTTGAAAATGATTTCTCGGAGTCCACCCCTTTTCCTCGAATCCCGAACGATGAGCTTTCAAAATTATCGATTCCGGTGGAGAAGTGTGGGTGTGGGGAACCCCGAGTTCAAGTGTGTGGCGCAACTATGGAAGGCATTTCCAATTAAGGAATTGAGCTCGGTTAGCCCCTGTGCTATTTGGACCACAGAGGGAAAGAGAACCCTTACGTCTAATAGGGCAGTGCAATCCAGGATGGACAGGATTTCGATATTCATCCTCTCCAATAACACGTGATCTTCAAACACAGGCACGAAATCTCAAAAATAGCAGTTTTGAATTTAAAAGTATCAGAAATTTTCCTCTAGCAAATCGAATAACAATTGAAAATGTTCTAAGCTATTATTACCTTTATAAGATTAGCTAATGGATGCCCATTCACCTTCTCATTTTAAGTAAACATGCTAATGAAACGACTAGTGATTATTACTATTTACAACTTGTATATATATTACCGTGAAAGACCGAAATTGGAGAATGTCGACTTTCACCGGAGAATATCAACATTCACCAAATACGTCGGTGAAAGACCGAAAATTTCACTACATTCTTGTATATTCGGACCCTCACCGGTGTATGTCGACAATCACAGATATGCTCTGGTGAAAGTCGAAAAGAGAGGTCATAAAGTGCCATAATAGTTTAAGTTGTTGCAATAAATAAGATTTGAATCACATAATTTAGTAAGTTTTTTTTATTACTGTTATTTTATTTCTCATTTAGAACGTACTGTATAATTAAGTAAGTTTTTAACTTCTATTATTTTCCTTTCTCATTTTGAATGTATTGCGTGTTTTAGGTTCTCATGTTCTTAAGTTCTTATTTCAAGTCTCAAGTGCGTTTATTCGCGACTGAATTACGGAGAAGAAAATATAATATTGTTATATGTTCAACATTCACCATTAGTACGTGGTGAATGTCGACATTGACCGGTTAAGTCAGAAATAAGAGTATTTGGAAAATATTTCGAACATACACCAAGAGACTATGTGAATGTTGACATTCACCGGTGAAAGTCGACATTCTCCAGATTTCGGTGTTTCACCGTAACATATGTACTATATACAGACTTAAAAAAAATTAATTAGTAATAACACCTAACTAGGGCATGGATGACATCTAAAAACTGACTTTTACTTGCAAAGCGTACCTGAATAGCAATAAATAGAAGAGGGAAGCGAATCTCCTCTAAAAATTCATCAAAGAGTTACATTCTTTTATTCTCTAATTTATTTAACATTAATTGCTAATTTATTTAAGTAATGTCTTGAAACATATTTTTCATGACCAACAGCGAAAACTAAAATGATATCGCTCTAATTGTTGTAAATATTACTCAAATTGCTTATTATGAGTAATGAGGTTTCGTCGTAACTAGTTTAGTGATGTTATTATTAAGATCTGTGGACACAGTTCGCAACTCTTCATACATTCTTGCAGGTCATGATATATAGAATGTCGTCAGAAAAATGCATATAGACTTCATCAGACGGTATCTGCATATTGGTTTCGAAGTTGAAACTAATTACCATTACAATATGTAGTATGGTGTTTGCTCAACAGATATCGATACGCTCATGACTGTAATATGTGACATATGATAATGAAACAAAATGACTTTGGAGAACTATGAAGAACATTTAATAATTCGAAAACCGGTTGGTTATGCTAAAGGTTATGCATCAAGAAATTACAGCGGCATGTGGAGGAATTCCCGCGGACACCTTTAGCACTGTTTTTCAATCAATCTATATGCTATGCGTGCAGCCGCTAAAACCAGTATCACAACAACTAGCTACCCTTGACAACGCGTCGAAAGAATATTCGAATTCCCGGAATATTCGAATACCTGATTGGTAGACTTGCGCGAAAGCCAATTCTTTGTCGAAAACCTATGAAAGACAGAGCTTCAAGCGAAACATTTTGAGTTCAGTTGGCAAATTTCCCGGCTATGTCAACACATTCTTACCTTCCTGTTTAAGAAGGTGTTGGCTATGTCCGA